TAAGCTTGTGGCATGTGTAAGGACTACTAGTGCTACCACTTGGAGGTAGACGCTTGTACAAGCTACCACGCACACCTTTTTCCACCTAGGAGAAAGCTGTTTGACTGTTTTCTCTTGCTTGTAGCGGGGTGGTTGGTGGGCGTCTTTTTTTGGCAACCTCACTCAACATCTTAGTTGTTGCGTCGCGGAAGCGGTTTTTCTCTTCCTGCACGGCTTTTGTGTGTTTGATAAAGCTTAGTTAGAAGAAGGTAAATGACTACTAAATTTATTGAACCGTATTGTCCTAGCTTACTCTTGCGTCCGATACCATTAATCCCTTCTTGATGGTCACCATGAGTTGCTTTGCCTTTTTCCAGATTTGCTTTGCCTCCTCCAAAGATTTCTTTGCCTTTTCACAGAATTGCTCTGCCCTTTCAGAAGATCGCAACCTCTTAACGTCACCGGCATCCTTTCAACAACTGTAGGTAAGCAGAAAGTGCAAGACTGATTTCAACAACTGTATTAGTTGTAACTAATTGGTTAGTGGCTAAATGCAATACTTACACGCGCGCTCGATCGTACGCTCAAAACTAAACTGAAGAACAAGTACACGGTTCCTACGTTGCAAGCTAAATGATGTTAAAGCTTGCGAATGACGTCACTACGGATATGGTAATAATATCCGTATCATACACTTAGTATGTATTACATAATCCTCGGTACTCGATAAGGCCACGTGCGAATCGCTTACCTGTTTTACTTTTCATATCAAAGCAGTAAGTGAACGTGTCACTGAGGTTCTATTTTGTTGCATACTGACGAAAAGTGTTGTCGACAATTTGAATCTTCGACATTCTGATCCAGGCTTGGTAATATTCGATTCGAAGAACGCTTGTTTAGCTGTGTTCGATACTTATAACGGTGGAAACACAAATTGTTGGAGGTCGTGCTTCTGGTTGTACGCCCAACTCAATCTTGAGACTTTGCTTCCGCAGAAGTTTGTTTAGTAACGGGTCTAGAAACACGTTTTTGTTGCCGTCAAGAAGCTTCAAGAATGCGTAATCAGTCGTACATGTCTATTCTTCCACCGTGGCGATCTTTACAACGATCGAGTGTATGGCTTAAACTCGCTAAAGGAGATGTGTCAGGTCGTTTCAACAGCTAAAGAGAACTATTCGACCTTGGCTTTGACTTTTGTTTATCAGCTAGTGTATTTTGTCAACAGAAATATGAAGTGTACATCAGTTATCACCTTTTTGCTAAGCTAGCTAAACCATGTAAAGTAGAGAACGGTATCATAATCGAAACCATGGCCTTTGGTTGCAGCACAAATCGTGAGCTCAAATATTCTTCTTGAGCTTTTATTGCTTCAGACCTCGAGATATTCCTTGTATATGTGGGCCTTGACATAATTGCTGGCAAATTCTTTGTCCGTCTTAAGAAGTTTTAGATAACCCACTTTCTCCTTCATGGTATTCACCTTATCAGAGGAAACACCTAACACCTCCATTAATTCTTTATAGCTCACGCCCTCTTTTTTTAAAAGCCCAAAATCGTTCCGCTCGGCCAAGTGTTTCACTTCTGCAATTCGCAGGTTCTTTAACTCCGCTGCTTTCTCCGCTTTCAGCTTCTCTAACTCCGCTGCTTTCTCCGCTTTCACTTCTCTAACTCCGCTGCTTTCTCCGCTTTCTCCGCTTTCAGCTTCTCTGACTCCGCTGCTTTCTCCGCTTTCAGCTTCTCAAGCTGCGCGGCTTTCTCCGCTTTCAGCTTTCTATAATTAATCGCCCTCTGAAAAGTTTCATACCACTGGGTAAACTTCGTGCAAAGCCATTGAAAAGTTTTTTTATAATTCCATCAGCCTGCACTATCCTTTCCTCATCTTCGGGCTCGTTGCCTTTCAGGAATCGAACTTCATGAACGTTCTCGCGGATGGAATCAGACGGCTGGATACGTAGCAGCGTCTTGTCCAATACCTTTGTTTGGCCTGAAGCTGCTAGGGCTGCGCTGTTTTTCTCGTGAAAAAAAAACAGTAGCACATAGAGTGAAAAATAAATGAAGCGCATCGCCGACTTTGGGATTAGCCTCGATACTTGAAGAAGGATAATCGAAGTCACCGAATGTCTCGCTTGTACTTTCAACGCTCTTGTAAAATAAGGTTTTGGTCAATGTGGGCACTACGTATAAAGGATCTCGCAATCATTTGATGGCCTCCATTCTTCATCAAAACCATGTGATTTGTGTATGTTTAATTTACGTCTGTAGCGTCTCCTTCGTGATACCAGCTGGAAAAAGCTTAAGGATTTTGAGGGGACATAGCAGTGTAGTTTAGCACCATGGAGCTGGACACTGAGAGGCAGACTCTGCGACAAAACGACCATCCTATCCTAATGTGACAAAACGACCATCCTATCCTAATGTGACAAAACGACCATCCTATCCTATTGTTCTTGCTGTTCGAGAGCGCATCTTCTACCATCAATGTCTTGCCATTTGTTTGCGCCAATGCAGCGGACACAATGACGATCCTCTTTCCCTTTGAAGTGATCATTCTCAAAGCCACTCTTGCTACATGGGCACTCATTCTTACATATTCATTTAAAATGCCCAGTCATGTGCATTTCACTGTTACTGCCTACCAACGATCCAGCTTCGACAGCCATCACTTTAACTACAATCAGCCTTTTTTACCTGACGCTTGTACGCTTGTAGCGAAAAACGCTCGATCAGTGTGACCATAAGGTTTTAGACTCTTCCAGCTGTAACTTGGTTGTCGATCCGTTGAGCCGTAACTTGAGTTGGTCATAAGAATTGAGCTGTTTGTCTACTAAGGCGGTCGGCAGAATCTGCGATATAAAAGTGAAGAACGTTAACCAAATCTTGTAAAGGTACAAGACGTGGTAAAATTATGCTAATGTACGACGAGATGACGTTATGGTTTAGAAGTTGCATTGCATCATTGCATTAACTGTTTGTTTTTAAGGACGATAATGACAAGAAAAGGCCTTAAAATAGGATCAATGACCCGTGTGAAACACTATTTTTTTAAATAAACAAGGCGATTTCTGAACTAGTCCCTAAAATCGGTAACACAACGTCGGGTCTTAGAATCATCGTTATCAAATACGCAATCAGTCCCAAAATAAGTCACTTTAAAACCTGTCATTTAGAAACAGCTCAACAACACGCCTATCCTATTTTTCTATACTTACCTCAAAACTTGTCAGCTCTTTTCTCTTGCGAGCCTCTTTTAGCTCATCATAATAATCAATAAAACTACCATCTTGCCTACAAAGCTGCATCCTTTTCCTCCTTGACGGTAGAAGCTTTGGCGACGTTAGCGGGTGCCATTGTGGTAGACTCCAAGTCATTCACTCCTTGCTGTTGTTGTTGAACCTGTCGCGCCTGTTGCAACTCTTGCTGTCGAGCTTGAACCTGCGCGAGAAAATGGCGACGGATGTCCGCGCACCGAGGCACCTTGCACACTGTGTATTCTTTTGTGCACTGGCGAGCATGTGCAGAGAGAAGTCCGATGATGCGCTTGCATAGCACACACGGCCCCGCAAGTCGCTGTTCACAAATTGCACCATGTTTGAGCATGGCCTGCATGCGATTGCAATTGAAAAAGGTGCAGTTGGGTACCGTGCAACTACTCGCATGCTCCAGCTGTAGCAAGAGTTGCGGGTCAATATTGTGAATCCGTCGTTTCTTGGATGCGTCACCATCACTTGCACTACCATTGGAACCACTTCCAGCCACTGAATCAGCGGCAGCAGTATTTGTTGCTGCCGAATTGACACTGCTTTCCGTCAGTGCAGACACTGTGACAGCTACTGCAGGTGTTGCTGCTTTCTCAGTCTTTACATCTGAAGAAGCTGTAGACGCCGCAACAGGGGAACATTGGTCATGCTTGCGCTTGCGAAAGCTATCCATCTTATGCCCGTCCATTTGCACCGGTTTGACATGCTTAGCGCGCTTTAAATCAGAGCTACCTGCTTCGCGCTTGATGGAACGGCCAGCTGCACCACCACCACTGGATACGACACCCTTGACCTTTGTACTGACTGTTTCGTTGGATACTTCGTTGCCGGGTTTTGGAATGGGAACCACCTTAAACAAATGTAGCTGATGCTCATGCTTTGTTTTCATGTGGCACGCGTCGCAAAGATTAAATACCGGACAAATTGAGCAATTCCAGCGATTACCACTCAGCAGTGTCGTCTTACAGTTCGAACAGCTGAACGTAAAACCAGTTGTGCCCTGGTTAAACAAGTGGTATAGCACCATCATCGATGAATGTTTTGCCCGTCGAATCTGGTCAAACTGGCAGTGATTGTTTTGACAATACAGCAAAAAGGCCTCGCGCGTATCAAAAATCTCACACGGCATGATCACATCGTCCAGGTCGTCACCTATCACACGCTTAACCTTCTTCTTTTGCACTACAGTCTTCAAATCCTTGCTCTTTTTTGTCGCTTCATCACTAGTGTCGGGCATCATTTCACTTTCCTTACCGATTGTCGAGCAAGCATTTTCTGCTGCTGCATTAGCCGCTTGTCCACCTTTGCTTTCAGCTTTAATGTATGGATTGTCAGTAGAAGCTCCGTCACTTACAGCCCTGTCTCCAAAAAGTACTCCGGCATAACCACGACTTTCCTTTACTTTGGCCTCGGATACTGTCGTCTCCTCATGTCTGCCATCCTGTGCAGCTTGAATTTCTTCCTCCGCGCCTTCCATAGGATCGATAAACCTAAGAGCCGCCTCAAACTTTATCTCCTGCAAATCGAGTTCAGCAAGCTCAGCAGCGGCTGCCTTCTCGTTTAGCGGAAGAATTCGTTCACATAAATCCATAGCACGCTTTGCACAATTGCCAGACACCTCCACACGATGCAGTAGCTGAGTTTTGTTGGTTTCATAACAAGAACCACAGTAAAAATAATGATAGTGGCGTGGTGGCAAATTGCGAGAGCTCAATGACGAAGACCGGGACTTCTTAGCAATTTCCAGCAATGTAGTAACAGAGGCAGGAGGAGAAATGGTTTTCAGCTCCCAGTAGCCTTCGTGCACGATCGGCACACCGCACTTGTGACACTTTGGATGCAAGTCTACCACAAAAAAATCGTCTTTTTGTGGCTCAAGAATACCCTTTAGCTTTTGCATGAGCGGATCATCGTTAATCACGTTTTTAGAACCACTGAAAAAACGCGATGAGTAATTGCCCTTCTTTGACCGTGCCTTCGAGGCGCTGCTCCGCGTTACCGATGGTTCAGTAGAAAAGTTGCAGCGCTTGCTTTTGTTCTTCTGGCTTGCATTAGGTGTCATCGCTCCTTTTTTCGATGCCAAAAACTTAGTGTCACTTAATTCATCAGCAGCAATACTGTTATCGATGCTGGCCTCACTTGGTGAAGGCGAACGAGAAATAGGCGTTTTCAAATCATTAGCAAGTGTACTCGTACCACTGACACTCACTCCGTTGACATCAACAACACCCGGCGCAGCCGATTTCGTTCGGTTGCCATTGTCTTTTTCTTCAAGCTGCTTAATGAGATCCTCAGCAAGTCGGGGCCAATAATCACCTTCGAAATAGGGCAGCTCGTGCGCCGCTTTCTTCTTCATATAGTATTCAGCGTACAGATTGGAGATATTTGCAACGAGCCCATCGCGTTTGGCTTGCACCAAGAGCTTCTGGTACCATTGGCGCAAACGTGCCGCTTTGGGAATTTTCTGATTTTCTGGTTTGCAGAAAAAATGTAATCATCACCCTTTAGCGGGGGACACGACCAAATATGGCATGTGTGAAAACCACGATTTTTGCAGTCCTCGAGAAAGCCTAGCATCACCTGCTGATGCATCAATGTGCGCAGCTTCTTCGGCTGAAAATAATTAACCGAATCCAAATATGACACGTATACACGACCAGCATTTGGCGATAGTGAACCAGGGCCGTATTCCTGTACATAGAGCGTGAAGATTAACACATCCACGCCATCTAGCTCTTGAAAAACGCATATGCATCGCGATCGGTAGGTCAATTGCAATGACAAAGGCAGTGATGCTGATGCAGCAGCCGTCTTGTCATCAACATTAGTTGTTGATCGTGGCCGCTTCAACGACTTCGTCATCCCACCCGCAACCCCAGACGCATCATGTTCAGCCGGTTTAATGTTTCCATACTTCGTCACCAGTAGTTTGCCCATCCTTGGTTTGACTTGCACCTGCTTATCGATGCTGAGAACCTCACGGATTGTAATTCCAAACTGGGTATCAGATGCAGATTCCTTCGCACCACTGGAAAAACCGATACTGTCGGAGTTACCCATATTACCCATACGCACAGCTTCATCCTCGCCTGCCTTCTGTATCGACTCAAGCACGCGCGTCTCGATCAACTTTGCCATTCGTGTGATTGGAAGTCGTTTCGCCTTAAGACCATTGTCTAATGATGGTTTCACTCCAGCTGCTCGTTGTTTCTTTACACAAATCGGACACACGAACGGTTCTTGCTCGCCGGATATCGCGTGGTTTCGTTCATTGAACAAAGCACAAATTTGGTGATACCACAATTTGCACGAATCGCACTCTACCCACGGTTCTTCAGCAACCTCACTGTTCTTTCGCTTAACTAGCGACGATTTCTTCAGTACGCCATCGAATGGCACCATGCCAGCACCGGGAGGAGGAGCCACTTCCGTTGCTGCACTTGACAATTGGGGCAAAAGCGACATATCAATAGGACCGTCTTTCATTTGCTTGTAGCAGGTTGAACACCAATGATGTTCTCCACGAGGGTCACTGTAGTAATGAGTATGTCTTCGAATCCGACCAGCACAAGGGCCGCTGCAAAAAAGCATGCACGGTGCAAACTTGAACGAATCTCCTCCACATAACTGACACATCTCTTCACGACGCTGTTCACAGCGCTTGAAAAGCTGCTTTTCCAGCTGATTCTTAAGCGCCGCTAACGACTTATTAAATGAGGCAAGCAGCTGTTTCGCTGCAATATTGAATTTGTTTGTGCTGCTATTGTATGCAATGCAGTTTTCAAACACCAAACGTACGTCACCCGCAAACGCTTCAACACTGGTGTAGTGCTCACTTTCCAACCGTTTCTTGATCGTGCCAAGATCCATGGGGCACTTGATGATATCAAAATAGTCTGGGATGTTCCACTGAACAGGATCCACTGGATTATTAAATGTCCACCCATACTCACTGTCCATAAGCTTTGTCAGCAGCGGCATTAGTCGGTTCTTCAGCTCGCTAATCGATATGTGTCCACAAAAATTAAACCTAAGCGAACGAATGTGCTCGTCCAGCTGACCTTCCGTCATTGAGTCTAAGAAAGAAATATCTTGGTGTGAAACATGATGATTACCACGTAATTCCGCCTGAGTGCCACGAACAACGAGACCATTGTGTATCACAGGCGACGCGCTTCCTGCCGGTGCCAAAGCAGTAACGGGCCCAGTAAGTGCTGCCGCCGCCGCTGCTGCTGCCTTTGCTTGAGCACGAGCTTTTGCAATTTTAGCTTGCTCTTTGCGACGGAGTTTCTTCTCTTTCTCTGTTTGCTGTTTCAAAGGCTTTTTCTTCATCTCCAGTACACTCGGTTCCGTAAGGTTTGTCAAGCTGGGCTCACTCGACATAGTTGTGTGAACCTGGTCAACCAACGTGCCGGCTACAGGAGCTGTCTTGGCCTGTACGTTCGCTTGCTGTGCACTGCCTACCACATTACCTCCAGCTTCTGCTTGTGTACCAGAAGTTGAGGCTCCTGCAGTGGTAGTGTTCATAATTTTGATCAATCCACGCACACCATCTGGACACTGGCTTGCCACCAACTGAAGTTGCGCAGCATTTCCTCGGCAAGAGTCGACCACCTTAATTGCCTTCCGCACGGGACCACATACTTCACAAATCATTTTATTGCACTGCTTGAAATGCGAAAGCACGTAACGCGATGAGATACAATGATCCGTTCGACACTGCCGCTGATGGCAATCGCAGATGTGCTTCCAAAGCACTTTCATTCCAGCGCAATACGGGAGAATGCATAGCTGCGATGTACACGTACTGGCGTGGCGCAGCATGCAAAGCCGTTCCTGCTGCCGTCGAAGTACCAGCTGCTGCTCGTTCTCGTTCATTGGAGGCCGAATAGCGCTACACACATCACACTGTAGATTGCGGCATTTTCGAAAATGCGAAAGCAACTGACGAGTCGACTTGCATCCCAGTATCGTACACTGTGCGTTTGCACAGCGTGATACGTGTGAAAGTAATGCTTTCGTGCGGCTACAGTAATCGATCGTGCATTCTCCCGTCGTACACGTTCGTGCGTGTTTCAACTGTATTAGCCGTCGCTTCAGTTCTTCACGCTTCTGAGCGATTGACACTTCATTCATTTGGATCATACCAGGTGCCGCTCCGTTGCCTGTCGCAGTAGCAGCACTTAGTGTAGTCGCCGTGCCACTGGTCGGCACCGTGCTGCTGGCCTGCAATTGCGCAGCACTGATCTTTCCGTTCAATTGCTGCTGTTGAAGCTGTTGGAGCTGTTGCATACGCCTTAGCTGCTGCATCTGCTGTATTTGTTGGAGCTGCTGAAGCTGTGAACCTGTCAAATTCATTTCATGATACAGGTTCGATCCAGCTGTGGTCGCTGAAGCAGCACTAGACATCGTCAAAGTTGGCTGAACAAGTCCTGCCGACGAGGCAATACTGGCGCTTATCTCTGGCGGCATGCTCAGCGGCATTGCGCTGAACGAACCCGCACCAGCGACTGCGGTTGGCGATGCTGCTGTTGATGACACGTTTACATAATTGTTTCCATTTGCAGTGTTCAAACCTGTAGTTGGTGTCGTAGCAACTTGAAGTTCAGATTCCGGCATTGAAAGCGGTTGGTCACTCACTCCATTAGCCATCTCATCTGCCTCGCGCTCCAGTTCGTCCAAAATCGAAGTGGCTGCACCCCCTACGCCAATGCTAGGATTCGGAGCGGAGATACCTGGAGTTGTGTTTACTTCATTGACAGACCCAGTGGTTTTTACCGGCATTTGTGAAATATTTGCCGGCATCTGAAGTGGCTGAGACATAGAACTCTGGGTCATAGCAGCGGAGGTACCAGGAAACGGGACTGCCTGGAAGTTTGTTCGTTGATTATGCAGTGCTGCAGCCATTTGCTGCTGCTGTTGTCGTTGGAGCAGCGCTATTTGGCGCTGTTGTAGCAACTGAGCTTGTGTTGGTTGCTGTACAGGATCGGTAGATGTCCTTGACGCTTGCAGCAGCTGCTGTTGCTCTAGCCTTGCCTGTTGCTGCTGCATTTGCCGCCGCCTTGAACTGTCCAGAGCTTGCTGCAGCCGTGCCTTCAATGTCTGCACGTTGCTATATTCTTGTTTTGATGGCGCTCCCATGTAAAGCGTATGCTCCAATCTCCTCGCAATCTCTCGTGGATTGTAATTAGCAGAAGTCGGTCTATTGGCACTCTTCATGATTAACGTCAAACTACACACGAGCACAACCAGCTCGGCAACGTTCAGTCAATCACACCCACCAGTCAGGCATAACAACCTGAGTACGCACATGATTCGTGCAATTTGCTGTCGAGCGCCTCGATCGGCATCTTTGTCCCTCCAATCTGTTGTGGGTGTCCCGACAAAAGTGCCAGGAGCGGCTCCAGCCAAATTCGGTGCAGTGGCACTCGGTCCGTTGATACTTGCTGTAGCCATAGCCGCACTAGAGCTTGATACTGCTGTAGACATTGGCGCTCCTGACGTGCTTGGATTCATAGTCTGTGCACATATCAAGACATCATTACACAAATTAGCAGACATTTCAGCAAAACACGTTGTCTTGTAGTACAAATCAAGACATGCAAGGCATTCTGCTTACTGTCGTAGTAGCAATCGAATCAGAATGACCAGATACTGCCGGTTTTGGTGCATATTGAGGAACAGGGGGCACAGACTGCTGAGGAAGGGACATGAGCTAGTTCAAGTGCTTCGTAAGCTGTTTATCAAGCACCTCTAGTGCTCTCTTTTTCAGTAATTGCAGTAGATTTGCTGCAATCACGTTTCCAAGCTGTGACTAAACTCGATACGTCGCGCTAGCTGTTACGAGCTCACTTGTTACAATTTATGGCTCCAAAAGCAAGTTCCTGGGTCAGAAGAGCAATCAATGACGCACGAGAAAGTCTTTCGTTAGTTCTTTTCATTACTCAGCACTGTATTCTCTCGATACGATAGTTTACAGATGGACAAAGGACAGTCTTGTGCTTATCATAATAAATTACCAAGTGATCGGTAATTTATTATGACGAACAGAGACGTACGACTTCCTGAGCCTCGAAATGAGCTCAGAAAGCTGTAAAATATCCCGCTGCACTCTTATACGCCATTTAACTCTATATCAAGAGTTTGTGGGTAGATATAATACCTAGTTTTGCAAGAATGGAAGCGTCCCCCTGTAATAAAATACGGGATTCTTACCTCAATCTAATGAAGGCCACAGATAAAACTACGACCCTGTAGTCGTATGAGATAGAGAAGAAAGCACGTAGATGATAGTTTTCCAAGTTTAAGGACAATCCACTTGCTACAAGTCACAAACTGAGGGGGTCCACAAGCGACTGTTGAAACCGTGTCTTCCACCCCCACTAAGAATGGAGAACAAACGAAAGAGTGATGGTCACTCGGTCGGGGAGGGGAAATAAGAATAGGGTACACGTGGACAGCACAAAAATAAACTCAATTTTTGTAAGAATACAATTAGGTACGATTACGAGCAGAAAAAGCCTTTCTGACGACTGAAGCAACCTTCACGTGACATTACAAAACCCCCCAAAATTGACAATCATTTTGATTATGGTCACTAATATGATTAGTGTATCTAATCGCCCAGTGGACGTTTCGGTGGACGTTTCAGGAGATCACGGGAGACGTATTGAATCACAGAGAGATGTATCTCCAGGTGATCTGATGCTACGAGTGTCTCCATATGCTGTCGTGCTACTTCCAGAGCTTTGGGGCTCACATTGTCACAAATGCTTTGGCTCAAAGACACGTCCAAGTCGCTGTGGTCGGTGTCAGACAGCATTTTATTGTATGGTATAATTGATAGCATGTATCATTTTAGAAAGGGTATGAAGTTTGACAGACTAAATGGAATAGGCTCGAAAGCTTGTCAACAAGTGGACTGGCAAGTAAATCATCGCAAGGAGTGTAACAGTTTAAAACAATTGGCACAGTGTGGACTGAGGAATGACCAAGTGATGGATGTGTTATTACTTGGGCGTGTGTTGAGACGTGAGGATAAAGAGGAACTCAAGCCTCAGGAGCTCGTGTGGTACGACGAAGATATGAAAGACCATGAGCTGATACTGTTGGCTGCGTTAGCTCAACGAATGAAATTGGTGCATGGTGAGAAATCAAGCAAGAAAAAAAGGTGGATATGACGTGGTAATGATTGACAAGATGGACTTGATGTTGTCGTGATATGTAGAGTCCTATTCGATGGATCAGATGCTGCGTATGTTGAGTCGATTCCGCAATAACAACTTTTCTATCTGCGATGAATTACTACTGGAGCTCGGTGCGGGTTGTTTCCCACTAGCAGCGATGATCAATCATAGCTGTGACCCTAATTGTGCTATCACGTACGTGTTTACAAAATGTAGTGACGGAACGTTGAATTGACACTGTGTGATTTTGGAATCTTAGATTCGTTTCAAAGACTCTGGACATGGAAATTCGAGCGATGAAGCCTATCAAGTCTGGCGAAGAGATTACACAGACTTATGGTTGGTTGTGTTAGTATGCACGCTTTTATTCCTACTAATATGGTTTATTGGTGTGACTTTTTGCTAATCTAGTTGATATTGCACTGCCACGCCGTGAGAGGCAACAGCGACTGCAGCGCAAATATCACTTTTGCTGCAAATGTGCTCGTTGCTCCCAGCCTTTCCAAGATCCTGGAAGTCTAGATGCTTTCCTCGATGCAGACATTGATGGCGTTCCGCAGGAGCTATGGACGCAGGAACGCCAGGATGAAGTGGAGCAGGCACTGCAGAATGCCAGTTCCGTTACCAATTGTGTTACTAATCAGGCAACGTCAGCGAAACAGCAGCAGCAATGCATCACCGCATTGGAAACACTGGCTGAGCATGAGGGTCGAATTCTCCATCGTGACAACATTGCAAGGTTGCAAACGTTTTCTGCATTGTTTAGTGCTGAAATGGAGCGTGGGAGTGTAGAAGTGGCGAGTAAGTATGGAGAGCGTATGCTGGAGTTCTACAAGCGTGTCTATAGTTCAAACCATCCAGTGACTGGGCTTCATTTGTTTACCCTTGGTGATCTCTATGGTCAATTAAATTTGACTGGACCTGGAGTCGTTCATTACAAGACAAAGTCATTGGAATATCTGGCAGAAGCTCAACGTATTCTTGGAATTACGCATGGCAAAGATCATTACTTTGTGAAGATGCTTGGAGATCGACTAGGGCGATAGCATAAACGTTCAAAGACCATTTCTTGACCTTTTATGAGAAATGGGATCACGTCGGACTAAAAAAAGAGCACGTGTATTTTCTGATAAGTAAACAAATTGGGTAAATATCTAGTCAACAAGTCAAAAATTTCGGTAATTCGTTCTGTAGTTCGTAATGTGAACTTGGATTCTTGTCACTTTTCTACGTTTCTAATTCCTCATTGTCCTTATTTCTAAAACTTGATTTTTCATGAATGTAATAGCAGAAATTCAGCGCCTGAACGAACGCGAGCTGGAGTTAAATGTGCCACTTTCGGGTTCATGGCATCAAAAATACAGTGAATCAGCTTGGATCTTTATTGGTGGACTACCTTTTGAGCTTTCGGAAGGCGATGTCTTGTGTGTATTGAGTCAATTTGGAGAGATTGAAGACATTCATTTGGTTCGTGATGGAAAAACAGGCAAGTCCAAGGGCTTTGTATTTATCAAGTACGAGGATCAACGGAGTACGATCTTGGCTGTCGATAATTTGAATGGATATAAACTACTGGATCGTGTGCTAAGAGTAGATCACGTGCTCAAGTATAAGCTACCGAAGGATTTACAGGAGGACAGTGACTCGGACGACGCAGAAGCTGGTAAGGAGAGACGGCAGAGAGGACTACCGGGTCATGCGTACGAGGGGAAAGACTTAGCTTCGAGTTATAATCTACAGAAAGGTGTAGAAGTATTTGCAGCACCTGAGGAGACACGAAAGGAGAGAAAAAAGAGAAAGAAAGAAGACAAGAAGGCGAAAAAAGCAGCCAAGAAGATGAAAAAGATTGAAGAGAAACAGCAAAAGATCTTGGAACAAGTGCAAAAGAGAAGGCAGGAACTGAGACTTAAGGAAAAGAGAGACGTAGCAGGAAGACAAGAAGAGGATAGTGTGGTACAACCGAGTGCGACAGGATGGAGGGGGAGGTTGGAACCTGCTGTGGCACGAACAAGACGTGATGGTGATAGGAAGCCGCAGGATGAGGAACGTGAGAAACACCAGGAGAAGAGTTACGGTGGTATGAGTCGCATGCGTTAAGAAAAGGAAGACACGACGACATTTCATCATGAAATTATTGAGCTTTCTGCCATCTATTTGCTTACGATCCATATTCTGCAGACCTATTGAGTTGCTTCAGATTCATTGTGTATGCTCTCATCCTTAGGCATTTGAAAGTCATACACTTGTAGTAAGTTTGTTCGTATTGCTAACTCAGTTTGTGCCTCCTTAACTACTTCCATGTCATTGGCAACGGCATCGTCCTCACCTTGCATGTCTTCTGGTAAATTGTAATGCCTTTGACCGCTACAAACCGCAATCGTAGCTCTAGAAACGTCAGGAAAGAACGACACTCCATTGACACAATCAGGTAGCTTGATTTTCTCATCCATCAGTTCTCCTGTTAATACATCATACAGCATAACTCGACCTGTACGACTGCCAGTAGCTAAATATCTTCCGCCACAATGCAGGTCAAACTCGATCCTTTGATTCGTGTCAGCAACACGATTGAAGGTATGCAGAATCTCATTCGTTGCACGTATATCCCAGCAATGAATCCGTGCATCGTGTCGTGCAGCTGTAAATAGAAACCGTCCACATGGAGAAAAACGTACTTGAGTAATTCCACGACCCTCATGATCGCGCAATGCCAATAACTCTTCACCCTCATCCTCCGTGTACACACAAGTAGTTCCAGCATACGATCCTGCCGCATAAATGTTCGAATGATCTGGATTGAAATGGATCGTACTAATCAATCCTCGCTGGCCTTTACGCGACCGTCGAGTCTTGCTCAATGGTCTTGCTCGAAAGTCTCGACTCGGCTGTGATAGATCAAAAAACCGAATCATTCGATCAAAGCCAGCAAAGAGTTTTGTGCCCACTGAATTGAATGCAAGACTATGAGCACTTGCTAGTTCATCCAGATGATTAAAAGCTCGATAAGACGCTCGAAGTTCTCCCGTATAGGCGTCCCATAGATGCACTGGTTGATCTTGACTAGTGCTCACAAAAATACAGGAAGTTGGATCAGTAGACGACATGAAGGGATACCATTCATAGTCATATATTGTACCACCTTCTTTTGCTTGTAAGAGACTCGTAGGAGAGTGACAAGTATCATCATTCATCTCAAATAGACGCAGCATATGGTCATCACTGTTTGTTAAGAGACAAAGACCATCAGGTGAGACTTTCACGCCTTTTGTGAAATTATTGCTGCATGTGGAAGAAATGACAGAGAATTCAATGGATGCTTGAAACTGCAAGGACGGACGCATCATGTGAGTGTGACGGAAGAATTGAGGCGGTGTGATGGAGGTGGAGGCTTCGCTCGAGGGTGGGAATTGCTCCATTTTGGAACCAATTGACAGAGTCGGAGGAGAATTTGATGAAAGCAAACACAACTTTCGTACAAGTGGATCGGCCTTTAGCTTAAAGTTTGCTAATCTTTACATGTTACCTATTATTATTTAGCTTGTGCTGAATAAAACATAACGATCGTGATGATGAGGAGCAGAGCGTAACTGGAAGTCGCTATGAATAAAGCTCTTTATCCATGTATTCTTGTCTCTATTTCGATCTTGATGACGATTTATATACTCTATATTACATCTATAGGACCAGCAATATTTCTAAGCGATATTTTCCCACAATAATTAATTGCTATAGAAACAGAAATGACTAAGTCAGGATTTGTGTAATCTAGTTCACCACATAAAAAAAGGCTCAACGCTAATCATGAAAAAAAGCGCTTATACGTCCATATTCACGTGCAAAGGCCGCATCTTAATATTTACCTCCACATTCATCGATCCATCCGTTAACGCTTCCTTGATCAAAAGCAAGCTAAAATGTGTAGAACGAACGAGTCTAATGGCTGCAACTTTTCTGGAAGCTCAATAGTACTGATGTGACGCTAGAGCTGATGTTTACAGAGCAATGAAACCGTCCTAGAACGTCGACAATGTACATTATCGGCAATCTTCTTATTTCCAGGCTTGCGGTCCTGGAAAAAACACTATCAACGGCGAAATGGTTGAGTCAAGTAGTAGCTTGCTATCGTAGAGACCATGCATGACATGGTCAGACTGCTACAACCTATTGCAGTGTCAGACCAAGTCGTTGCGACTCCATTGATTTTGACGCAATGGATTTTCCACTCATTCAATGCATTTGATCTGATATAAACAAGATTTTGTGTGTGAAAAACAAACCACCGTCGTCTGAAGAAAGATGCTCTTGTCAACACTAAACACCACCTCGAGCAGCAACAAGTGTCTTTTGTGACAAATAATTCTGTCTACTTTTGTGACGAAGATTCAGGCGCACGATCGCAAAAATGGGCTACAAGTACGACAGGTGCATCCAAGGACAGGCGTAAATTAAAGAAGACCCATGACCCATTTTGAAACGATATCAAATGACCCAGCGACTAGAAATCACTACACATGACAAAAAGAACGAGTGGATTTTTTTTGCTTCATTAAATCTGTACCCATTTCAATAAAACACAAAACGAAATAGTCCTATTCTCTCTAAACCCACATCCAGGCTCACATTCACGTCATCTGATTGGCTATTTGCAAACCTACCACTTTCATTTAAATAGATTTTTGCCTGTTTATTCCCTCAAAAATCAGTTGTGCCAGGCCAAGGGATAGGGGTATCTATCACTTATGCCATTCATGTCATTCATCTTTTGTCACGTTCGACATTATCCAAGTCTCTAAGTACGATATTATCCAACTCTTCATCTAACCCATGCGTCGACAAGCTGAGAGTAATTATCTCGACATGAATCGTGAACTGGCACTCAATCGTCTCGAAAGTTTCCATACGACAGCACAGACTGGACCCTTTGAGCTCTTACAGCGTAAATTTGGCTTCCAAGCCAGTAGTGTTGCGAATCAGAAGGAAAATTTAGGCTGTTGGGTGACGAATTATCAAATGCGTATACGTTCGGAATCTCCTCTTGAAACCATCGAGTTAAACAATGAATTCGTGACCAAAACAGCACTTGGTCGTGTCCATGGGAAATTTTTCCAGAATTATTTCAAGTGGTGTAAATTTTTAGACACACCTGTGCAAGCGATGGCGACAATCAAGATGGACCATACAAGTCGAATGGAGAAAGAACTGGCTCTTTTTTTATTATTATGGGGAGAAGCAGGAAATCTTCGATTTATGCCCGAATGTATTTGCTTTTTGTATCATAAAATGGCCACCAAGTTAGAGATTTTAGAGACTTTACCTAACGTCAAAGAAGGATTTTATCTTGATGAGATTATCCGACCAGTCTATCAAGTCCTTGCGACCATGGCGTCATCATCATTGAAGAAGGATAATCGACCACGTGATCATCAAGATACAACCAATTATGATGACGTGAATGAATTTTTCTGGACCCGTCAATGTCTTGAGTGTACTGAGATGAATGTTGCACGAATGTTAACAATCCATGATCCCAAATCATTTCGTGAAAAACGCAGTATATTTAATCCAATCTTGGCATTTTTTCGTGTCTGG